AGGAAGCTAACCCAAAGATCGTCCACTTCCTTGGTGCTGAGCCAAGGAAATGATCCAAAATATGCTAAAAGAGCAAGGTGGTTAGAGGCCCAGAGAGGCAGCATCTTGATGGGGTAGGAGGACCCATGCAGAGGCAGGCCTGGTGGAAGAGTATTCATTGTGGCCAGGCATCATGGTTGGTTGTATTGAGGGAAGAAAGATGTGTGACACTGTATAGTGAAGTTAGGTGCTTTAGAAAGAAGTCCTGTGAGCCAGGCTCGGTGGCTCAGTTTGTAATCCCGCGCCTTGGGAGGCTGAGGTGAGTGGATTGCCTGAGCCCACGGGTTCGAGACCCGCCTGGGCAACTTGGCGAGACCTCATCTCTACAACAAATCCAAAAAATTAGCCGGGCGTAGTAGCACGCGCCTGTAATTCCAGCTACTTGGAAGGGCGAGCGGACAGATCGCCGGAGTCCAGCAGGTTGAGACTGCGGTGGCTGGGAGCGGCCACTGCACTCCAGTCTGGGTGACAGAGTGAGACTCCAACTCAAAAAAAAAAAAGAAAGGAAGAAAGAAAGAAAGAAAGAAAGAAGTCCCGTGAACGTTGAGAGAGAGAGGAGACAGTTTATGTGGGAATCCCTACCAGGTCAGCCACTCTCGCCTCCCAAGGTCAGAAGGTGTATCTGACAGCCAGGCACACACACTCAGTTTTTCTGCTTACATGGTTCTTTCCCACATAAGCTTAAGGAGAATTTTAAGTAACTGAGTGTGGCTATAGAAGGAAAAGGGTAGATGCAGTGAATGCCATGTTAGGTTTCATCTCATGGCTGATGGGGAGCCATTAGAAGCTTTAAATTAGGTGAGTAACATAATCAGGTTTGTGTATTAAGAAGATCATTTATAGATAGTGATAAACAGTTTGAGTTAAAATCCTGGCCAACTTTGGGTCAGTATCTTGTTCTCACTATACCTCAATTTTCTCATCTATAAAGTAGGGATAATGATAGCTCCTACCCATAGGGTGGTTGTGAAGACTAATGAAATAATGTGTATAAATAGCTTAGTAAATGACTGGGCCAGAGTAAGTGCTCAGTAGCTGAAAATAATGATAATGATATAATTATTAGAGTGGAGAAAAATGGGAGTCGGGAAGATTAAATGTAGTTAGGCAAAAGATATTAAGGGCCTAAGTTAAGGGGAGTTGTAAATGAAGAGGATGGTTATGAAAGATATTAAAGAAATAAAATTGTTAGACTTTGAAACATAATGCTAATGAGAGGGTGAAGAAAAGGCAGGCATCTTTTTTTTCTTCCCTGCCTCCCTTCTTCTTTCCTCCTTCCTTCCTTCCTTCCTTTCTCTCTCTCTCTCTCTTTCCTTCCTTCCTTCTATCCATGGGTCTCACTCTGTCACCCAGGCTGGAGTGCAGCGGCACATTCACAGTTCACCCACCGCAGCCTTGACCTCCTGGGCTCAAACGAGGCTTTCACCTCAGCCTCCAGAGTAACTAGGACTACAGGTGCATACCACCATGACTGGCTAATTTCTTTGATTTTTTTTTTTTTGTAGACATGAGGTCTTGCCTAGGCTGGTCTAGAACTCCTGGGCTCAAGCAATTCTCTTGCTTCAGCCTCCCAAAGTCCTGGGATTACAGGCTTGAGCCACTTGAGCCAAGGCAGGCATCTTTAATGATTCCCAATTTAGGGTGACTAAATGGATGGTGGTGCGCTTGTGCGAGAGAGGCGTACTGGAGAAAGTGGCAGTCAAGGGTGAAAAAAAACATAATAAAGTCTGTTTTGAAGATATTGAGTTTGAGTATTTTGCCACCAATTTGAATATGAGTTTCTGGGAAATCTAAACTACAGAAATAGATTTGAGCTTTATCATAAGATGGATTTGAGCTTTATCATAAGGTAGAATATGAAGCTATGGGTAGGGATAAAAGCACCCAAGGGGAATGTGTAGAAAAAGACCAAAGGGTCAATCATATATCCCTGAAGGGATCAAGGACATTGAGAAGGAACCATTGGAGAGATCAGTGACATGAAAACGAAAGTGGAGGAGAAGTTTCAAGAAGGAGGGAGGGAGGGAGCCCTCAGTAATGTCATATCCTCTAAGAGAAATGAGAGGTGATCACCAGGCTGCTGAGTGATCTTATAAGGGTAGGTGAATTTCATCCAAGTACTGGGCTCTCTCTCTCTGCTAGTGGTACAAAGATGAGTAAGACAGTTCCTGTCCTCATGGGGCTCACACAGAAATCTGTAACAATGAAAATAGAAAAAAACTCTACTGTGAAGGAGTTCAACCTGGAACATTTGCTATGACATTGATCACCAGGGCTAAGTTATCTACCAAGGTGGGCTGGATGGATTTTCTTTCCCTGCTTCATTCCTTCATAGACATTTCCTGTAGCCAAATAGAATGACCTGTCCAAGAGAAGAGGACCTTATTTGGTCAATAGTATAAGAATATCAAGCCACCTCCCATGTGTACTGCAGTATTATGCTTCTTTTCAGAACACTGTCATAATACTATCACCTTCTATAGACCAAACTTTTCATAATACTTTCACCTTCTATAGACCAAACCCTGAGACAACAGAATGTCTATTTGAAAATACATTTGATCCTTCATTTCACAACAGCCAGTACTTCTGGTGATGCAAGGATAGTCTTGTTCAATGTGAGGAAAGAAAGAGTAGAAGGAGGTAGAAAAAAGGTGGTAACATGTCAGGAAGAGATAGTTACAGGACTAGCAGAGGCTAGTTGGGTAAGGTTTTGTTAGGCAGAGACAGTGGGAGCAGGGGGAGGGAAGGGAAAGAAGGATTCCTGACAGAAGGAATAGTGTCAGCATGGTGGAGAGGTGAGATGGCACAGGCCAGGCACAGGGACTCACTGGCCTGCACCTGGAAGTCCTAGCACATGAGAGTGGTAGCAGGATGGAATGGGGACTTGGGCCAAATGATGGAATTCTGAGGGCCAAGGGAGGGAGTTTGGGCTTTCTTCTTCTGTGGTTTGACGACTTCTGGGAGGGACCATCAAAGGCCTTTCAGGAATTCAGGCTTGTCTATCTCAGCCTTCTCCTTCTAGAAGACCAAGAGCCCAAAGTGTCAGCCTGACATTCGATCTCCTTTGCCATGGTTGGGAAGTCAGGGCTGTAGCTGATTTCATTGGCCTGTTTTGCATTTATTATAGTGTGGCTTTTATAGTGTGTTAATTGAAATATTTCCAACTGCCAAAAACAATTACACTCAAATTGCCTTGTCAGTTCTTTTATTGCCAGATAAATGTTTTACAGACATATTTATAGGGGGCAGTGGTAACTGGATCTCGTTTTCTATTTACGGCTGGTGGTTTGGGTTGGGATTGGCCCCCCAGTTCTCTAATGTGGGCTGGAAAGCTGTTGCACGTTGTGACGCTTCCATCTCGTTACCTTAGGGATCAGAGTCTCTTCAAAGGAAAGCAGCTTTCTGGCTCATGTGGCTTAGCCTCAGAGAAGGGTTCCCATCACTGGAAACGTTGGCAACCTGGCAGAAATCTGAATCCCGCTACCCGCCCTACCAGCAACAGTCCCAGCCCAAGCGGAAACATGCTTTTCTCTTCCCCTGGAATCATTCCTCCCTTCTACCATCCAAGCCTCTCCCAAAGACCCTATCATGTAAGAGCTATAAGAGCCTATCTAGCCTAACTCTCTCACTTTGCATTTGGGAAACCAGTACCCCAGAAACTTCCCTTCAATCACAGAGGTGATCAGTGAGGGAGCTGGGAGCAGAGGTCTCTTTCCAATGTGCCATTCTGCCACCAATGTGTGCTCTTTGGCTCCTCTCTGCCTTGACTCCTTCAGTGCTCTAGGCCTGCTCCTTCCAAGAGCCCCTCCTTCATTCACGTCTCCAGCCCTCACTGATCTCTCGCATGCTTGACAACCTGAAACACCTATTTGTTCTGTATATACACTGCAGGATTTGTGTCTGTTTGTTTGGTGAACTGTCTTACTGTCTATGTCATTGTTCTTCTCTTGCTTTTGGACATGTTGTTTTCTACTTCTGAAAAATATTTTCTCCACCAGGGCAACACACACTTGTCCTTTGACACTCAGTCAAGAAATGGTCACCTCTGGAAGCTTTTTCTGTGCATCCCAGGCTGGATAGGTACCCGGTATACTTCTATCACACCCTGGGCACACATATCTCTATTGTTGGCACAGAGCTGGCTTTTGAAAGAACATAAGTTGAATGAGTGAGTGATGAGCATCGATCACACTTGTCTGCCCTCCAGGGACCCTGAACAAACTGGGGTAGGGACCTCATCTTTCTGCATAGGTTAGTACCTGACTATAAGTAGGTGTTCTACTAATGTTTATCAAATTGAATTGAGCATGTTCTTGGGAACATAGAATTTAAGCATATTAGAACTGGAAGGTCATAATATTCAATCCTATGCATTTTACTGATGAGGAAACTGAAGCCCAGAGAGGAAAAATACTTTTCCCAGGGTCATGATGACTAATGAGTTTTAATGGCATTCATTCCTTTATTCAATAAATATTGTGAACGCCTACTATATTCTGAGCGTTGTTCTAGATGCTGGAGATGCAGCAATGTACAAAGCAAATAAAGTACCTGCTTGTAAAGCGTGTTTATTCATCCCAAACAAGTGCTTATGAATATAATATGACTTTGAAGCTTCGTATTGCCCAGTACAGAGCTGAACACTTAGAATATGCTTTAAAAGTACTTGTTGAACTTGTTGCACATAAGAAATTCCCAGTGCTAAGGTACCTGGTTGCTCTTCATTGATCAGTCCCATTGATGCTGATGAGATTTCTTCAGATACAGGACCTCTTTGGCTGGACTAAGAAAAACATATTGCCACTGAGGATGTTACTAAGACTGTTTCTGAGGCTTGGGAAAGCTCAATGTCCTTTGTCTATGAGGTCCCTGGGTGAAAGCCTCCCTGAAATACCATTTGTGATACTTCCATGTCAATCTGCTTATGACTTACCCTCTGTTTTCTGTTCTTCATTCAGAGTATCTGCATTGTCAGAGGAAACAGAAAGAAAGTAAGTGTTGAGACCACCACAGTCTCTCAGTAAACTATTAATAGCATTTTTTCTGTTGAAAATAGTATTTATGAGTGGGGGACCCCCCAAAAAAACTAGCTTTATCTTCCAGAGGGCAGGTCCTTTGTAGTATAGGTTTCCTGGCTAGGTTAGGGTTCTAGAAACCCACCGGCATCAGTGTACCAACTAGCTTTGTTGTGAGAGGTTGTGTTCAGCTTCAGTGAATTTTTTTTTAAGATTCTCTCAATGTGTTTGCCCATTTCGTGATGGCTGATTTACATGCACATCTGTCCACACCATGCTGAATGTTCAGCAGTTTTTTGACCAGAAATGGCGTGACTGTGCCCCATCCTCCCTATTCACCCGATCTCACCTGAGCAACTTTTTTTTGTTTCCCCGGATGGAAAAAATCCTCAAAGGGAAACGTTTTACCAGTGTGGAAGAGGTAAAATAAAAAATGGTTGAAACACTAAAAGGCATCAGAATTGATGAGTTCAAAAACTGTTTTGAGCAGGGGAAAAAGCATCTCTATAGGTATATTGCATCAAAGAGTACTGAAGTTTAAACATGTAAGAATAAATACACAATTTTTTATAAATAAATTCTGGATTTTTTGGGGTCCCTCTTAGTACATATTTTTAGAAAATTCAAATGAACTAAAGGAATAATACTAAAATCACCCTTAAACCTATCACCCTAGAATAACCTTGATAAACATGTGATGTTATGTCTTCCCAGATGTTTTTATGCATATATAAAAATTACATGTATTTATTTTTCTTTTAGAGATTAGAGGGAGAGATATAGACTTATTTTATTTTTTTATTTTTTTTGAGTCAGAGTCTCACTCTGTTGCCCAGGCTGGAGTGCAGTGGCATACTCACAGCCACTGCAGCCTCAACCTGCTGGGCTCAGGTGATCCTTCCACCTCAGCCTTCCAAGTAGCTGGAACTACAGGCATATGCCACCATGCCCGGCTAATTTTTTAAATTTATTGTAAAGATGAGGTCTCACCAAGTTGCCCAGGCTGGTCTCGAACCTGTGAGCTCAGGCAATCCTCTCAAAGTGCCGGGATTATAGGCGTGAGCCTCCATGCCCAGCCTAGACTTTTTTTTTAGTTGAAGTCTTTGAGTTTTGAGTTGAGTCTTGAGTCTTGAGTTTTGAGTCCATTGCCCAGACTGGAGTGCAGTGGCATACTCACGGCCACCAGCATCGACCTGCTGGGCTCCGACGATCTCCTTCCACCTCAGCCTTCCAAGTAGCCAAAACTACAGGCACACATTACCACACCTGGCTAATTTTTTTAAAAATTTATTTATTGTAGAGATGAAGTCTTGACAAGTTGCTCAGGCTGGTCTCAAACCCACGGACTCAGGCAATCCACTTGCCTTGGTCTCCCAAAGTGCTGAGATTATAGGCTGAGCCACCTAGTCCAGTCTAGACACTTTTTTTTTTGAGTTAGAGTCTCACTCTGTCGCCCAGACTGGAGTGCAGTGGCACGCTCCCGGCCACCGCAGCCTCGACCCGCTGGGCTCTGGCGATCCTTCCGCCTCAGCCTTCCAAGTAGCTGAAATTACAGGTGCGCGCTACCACGCCCTGCTAATTTTTGATTTATTGTAGAGATGAGGTCTCACCAATTTGCCCGGGCGGGTCTTGAACCCGCGGGCTCAGGCAATCCACTCTCAGCCTCCCAAAGCGCTGGGATTACAGGCCGAGCTACCGAGCCCGACCGACTTATTTTTTAATGGACTCAAACTGTCCGTGTTATTTCATAAACTGTTTTCACACACACACACAAATTAGTGTGTCTTCCATTGCCAATAAACTTTTATAGCATCATTGGAAAATACTGCATAATATTTTACCATATGTTTCTAAGACTATGCCATAATTTGTTCAACCATGCCTCATTGTTGTACATTTAGATGTGTCCTTTTTCACTATTATTATTAATTTTTTAGCAAACATCCATACACCTAAATCTTTGGGCATGTCTTTGGTCATTTCTTTAAAATAAATTCCTACACATAGAAATTTGGGTAAAAGAGTAAAAAAAAAATTATTAGGCTTTGATAAAGACTTTCAAATTGCTCTTCAGAAAGATTGTTCTAATTTGCAGGTGCCTGTTTTCCCACTACCTCACCAACACTGGATATTAGTTTTGTTTGACTGATTGTTTTCTAGTTTGCCAGTTTGAAAAATACATTTTTGGGGGGCATAATATTGATTGCTAGTAAGGCTGAACATCCTAAAAATGTCATGGGCCATTTTGCAAGGTGTTTAAATGTCTACCAGGAAAAGACAAACCCTCTTCTAGTCCTTGATTGATTTTTACTCCAAGGGGACTGTGAGGCTTACAGTAACTAAGTACAGAGAGCATTAACTTAAGATGACAGATTGGAAGACAAAATATAAATTAGAGTTGAAGTGAGAGTTTGATATCCTTTCTTGATGTCTAAGACTCACTGCAAGAAGCCCATCATCACAAGTCCTCCTAGAAACCAAGCTCTGCCCTTGTACAGACTACAAAATGTACACACACCACTTATGGAGAAGTCCAAAGGAACTGCTCAAGCCAGAGTTTTCATTGCCTAGAAGATCATGGCCAACTCTGCCCTGAGGGAGGACAAGCACTGTTTGCTTGTCCAAGCAGATGAGATGCTCCCAACCCTCATGTGAGATTTTTGTCCAGGATGAAGAATCAGGGACAGACGTGGTAGAAGGGACAGATGAATGGAACCATTCCAAAGCCGCAGTTAGACCCCCAGACCAGCTGGAGTTGACTGATGCGGTGAGTAGCCTCCCATCCTTGCTCCTTCCACCCTTCCAGCTTCAGGAATGTGTTCTTCCACAGCATTGATAAGGGGCCTGCACAGAACCTGGGTGTGAGATATCTGCTGATACCCTGGGGGATTCTTCTAATCCTCAGATTTGGTGGGGCAGGGGGCGGGGGGCCTTCATGTATGATCCTCTTGGCATTTCTCTTCCTCAGGAGTTAAAGGAGGAATTCACTCGGATTTTGACGGCCAACAACCCACATGCACCCCAGAACATTGTCAGGTACAACTTCAAAGTAAGTCATCCCCTCCTGGGCAGGGGTCTTCATATTTATCTCTTTGGAGTGACCGTGACTTGCTACATCGCAAAAGACTCTCAGTTATTCTAGAGGAGATCACTTTTAAACAGAGGTCCTTGGCTAAACTCCTGGAGTTTTCCAGAGATTTTGACATTTTCTTTTTTTTTTTTTTGAGTTGGAGTCTCACTCTGTCACCCAGGCTGGAGTGTAGTGGCACGTTCACAGCCACTGCAACCTCAACCTGCTAGGCTCAGGCGATCCTTCTGCCTCAGCCTTCCAAGGAGCTGGAGCTATAGGCGTGTGCCACCATGCTCAGCTAGTTTTTTTAAATTTCTTGTAGGGAGGAGGTCTCGCCATATTGCCCAGGCTAGTCTCGAACCCAGGGGCTCAGGCACTCCTCTCGCCTCTGCCTCCCAAAGTGCTGGGATTACAGGCATGAGCCACCACACCTGGCTGAAATTTCTTTCTGAATCTCCTATGCAGTCTTGCTAATTGCAGTATCTTAAAAAAAATTTTTTTTTTAAATTTTAAAGATGTGGGGTACAATTCAGAGTTAGATATACAAACATTGATTATGCAGGTACCCTTGTTGATGAGGTATGCCCCTCCCTCCCCTAGCAGTTTTCCTCTACTGCCAATCCCACCCCCGCTCCCCTGACGGTTTCCCATTACTGCCAATCACTTTATTATAGTATTATAATTGTTCAAGGTCCACTTATGAGTGAGAACATATGGTACTCTGTTCTTTGTTTCTGTGATAGATCACTGAGTATGATCAACTCCAAATCCAAGTTGCTGTGAAGTCCATATATTTGTCCTTCTTTATTGCTGCTTAATATTCCATTGTATATATGTACCACATTTTTTAAATCCAGTTCAGCTTTGATGGGCAACATGATTGGTTCCATGTTTTTGCTATTGTGAATAGAGTTGCAACAAACATACGTGTGCAGGTATCTTTTTTGTAGAATGATTGGGAATATTGGGTATATTCCCAATAGGGGAATGCTGGGTCATATGGAAGGTCAATTTCCAGTTCTTTCAGAAATCACCACACTGTCTTCCAAAGAAATTGCACTAGTTTGCATTCTCACCAGCAGTGTAGAAGCATTCCTTTTTCTCCACATCCTCGCCAGCATCTGTTGTTTGTTTTATTAATGATGGCCATTCTTACTGGGGCTAGGTGGTATCTCAATGTGGTTTTGATCTGCATTTCTTTGATGATGAGTAAGGCTGAGCACTTTTTCATGTGTCTGTTGGCTGCCTGTTTATCTTCTTTGGAGAAGTATCTATTCATGTCTTTTGCCCACTTTTTAAAGGAACTGTTTGTTTTTTTCCTTTTGGCATGTTTGAGTTATTTGTAGATCCTAGATATTAGGCCTTTGTCAGATATACAGTTGGCAAATACTTTTCTCGTTCTGTGGGCTGTCTCCTTGCTCTATTGATGGTTTCTTTTGCTTTGTAGAAGCCTGTTAGTTTGATGAGGTCCCATTTGTCTATCTTATTTCTTAAGGTATTGTCCATTAGAGTTCTGAATAGGTTGCCAGTTCCAATTTCCATAAGGGTGTCTCCCGCATTTTCTAAGATTCTTATAATTTGAGGTTTTATGTTTAGGTCTTTGATCCATTTACAGTTAATTTTTGTGTATGGTGATATGTAGGGATCCTGTTTCTAATTGCAGTATCTTAAGTGCCCTGCAGAGCTACTCTTTTCAAGAATTTTTAGCCGGGATCGGTGGCTCAGCCTGTTATCCCGCGCCTTTGAGAGGCTGAGGTGAGTGGATTGCCTGAGCCCGCGGGTTCGAGACCCACCTGGGCAGTGAGACCTTATCTCTACAATAAATCAAAAAATCAGCTGGGTGTGGTAGCGCATGACTGTAATTCCGGCTACTTGGAAGGCTGAGGCAGAAGGATCGCCGGAGCCCAGCAGGTCGAGGCTGCGGTGGCTGGGAGTGGCCACTGCACTCCAGTCTGGGGGACAGAGTGAGACTCCAACTAAAAAAAAAAAGAATTTTTAAATGAATCATTTGGTTAGAATAATACTTTTTCAATATATATAGCATATTTTTCATTAACACAAACTACTGGGCATTCAGACGCTGAGTTTTCTGTCAGCCATACACGTGGATGGAGTACAAACTCCCCTCTGGACAAAAGGAGCTGGCTGCTCCCTCATCCCCAGCATTCCTGCCTAGGAGGACGCCCCAGCAGGCTCTAGTCTCAGTGCCTCTTGACATCAAAGACAGGCTGGTGACCCCATCAGAGCCTTCTTTTAGTACATGTGGCAGGGGTGAATTTTGACTTGGTAGACACATATATGACATGTCATTATGGGGACAACACTATTTTCAACTATAACAAGATCAGCTTCTGTGATTATGGACTGAAAATAACTTCAGTGTACATTCTGAGCTAAAGGGAAAATGATGCATATGTTTTTTATTTCATTATTTCGAGATCCATTTGTTTCAAGCTTACTGTGTACCCGTGTTAGGTCCTTTATAAGTCTTTTACATAGAATGCCTCATATAATCCTCACATTTCTTTGATACAGAAACGATTCTTATTTTCATTTTATAAAAACTGAGATTAAATTAGATAAACAACAAATTACAACAGTTATAGAGACAGGATTCAAAGCAAGATTTGAATTCATTTGTATGATTCAAAACTATATCACACTGCTTCTTTAAAAACTTTTAAAAATATGAGTGGGTGTAGTGGCTCATGCCTATAATTCTAGCACTTTGGCAGGCCAAGGTGAGAGGATAGTTGGATAGTTTGAGGCCAGGAGTTTGAGACCAGACTGGACAACATAGTGAGACTCCCATCTCTGCAAAAAAAATGTTTTTTAAGCTGGACGCAGTGGCTCATGCCTGAAGTCCCAGCACTGTGGGAGGTGGAGGCAAGAGAATTGCCTGAGCCCAGGGGTTTGAGACCAGCCCCTGGTCTCTACAATAAATAAAAAAACTAGCCTGGTGTGGTGGCGCATGCCTGTAGTGCCAGCTACTTGGAAGGCTTAGATGAAAGGATTGCCTGTACCCAGCAGGTCGAGGCTGCGGTGGCTGTGAGCATGCCATTGTACTCCAGCCTTGGAGTGAGACTCCAACTACAAATAAAATAAAACAAAATAAAAATAAAATAGAAACCTGTGGTATCGATTTCAAAGAATTTAAAAAATGAAAATACAATAAAAATTAAACCTTCCTCTCCCTTCCTTGTCCTTTTCCCTGGAGATAATAATTTCTTTCTTTGTTTTTAAAACAGTTTTGTTGAGATATAACTTACATACCACACAATTTGTCCATTTAGAGTGTATAATTTGATGGCCTTTATTATATGTACAATTATCAGCACAATCAATTTTTTTTTTTTTTTTTTAGTTGGAGTCTCACTCTGTCGCCCAGACTGGAGTGCAGTGGCCGCTCCCGGTCACCGCAACCTCGACCTGCTGGGCTCTGGCGATCCTTCCGCCTCAGCCTTCCAAGTAGCCAGAATTACAGGCGCGTGCTACCACGCCCAGCTAATTTTTTGATTTATTGTAGAGATGAGGTCTCGCTGCCCAGGCGGGTCTCGAACCCGCGGGTTCAGGCAATCCACTCACCTCAGCCTCCCAAAGGAGCACAATCAATTTTAAAACATTTTCATCTCCCCTGAAAGAAACCCTGTACCTCTTAACTGTCACTCCTCAGTCTTTCATCCCTTCCAGCCAAGGCCACCACTAAAAAGTTTTCTGTTTCTCTAGATTTGCCTATTCTGGACATTTCCTATAAATGGAATCATACAGTATGTGGCCTTTTGTTGCTGGCTTCTTTCACTTAATGTAATGTTTGATTCATCCATGTTGTAGTATGTGTCAGGACTTCATTTCTTTCTATTGCCAAATAATATTCCACTGTATGAATATGCCACATTTTATTTATCCATTCATCAGATGATGGTCATTTGGATTGTTTCTGCTTTTTGGCTATTATGAATAATACGGCTATGAACATTATTATGAATAATGCTGCTATGAATATACGTGTACAAATTTTTGTGAAAATCTTCTTGAACACACTGCTTCTTATTTAAATCTATATAGGCAACCTCTCCACAAAGAGGCTGAAACAAATCCAGACGTGTTTCTTAAAAGGTACTACTCATGAGTTTAGCTAATGACTTCCCTTGGGCAGCCTGTAACAGTCAGAGGGAAGCTGCCTTACCTTCCCTGATTTTATGCCGGCGCATGGGGCACGCCACAGGCTTCTGTCCTGACACCTGAAAGAGGGTTTCTCTAGGACTCAGTGTGCTGGCCATGTGAGCACCATACAGGCAGAGAATTGGTGCTGGTTTGTTGGTTCCAATGCACTCCACGTGGAGTCAGCTCCATTTTGGTATCCCTAGATGCCCAGGCAGGCTCCTCTCACTCAACTTCCCAACAGCCTCCCAGAGCTGGTCTCCATCTCATTGGTCCTGAGAGATCCAAGAGCTTTGTGTCTCTAAAGCTGCTACTTTCCCTTGACGTGCTGGAGTGTAGAGGCAGATCTAGGCATACCTCCCTTTCCCTCACAGAACCAATGGAGTCTCAGTTCCATTCCTAAGCTGAAGAGGAAGATCCCAATCAACTGCTAGGGACAAGATGAAGAGGAAAACTCAAATGACAGCTGTACAAATAATTTGTTCCCTGGGAACTGTTATCATAATAATAGTTACTTTTTTTTTTACTGTCAAAAGTTTTACACACAAAATAGTGATTTTTTTTTTTAAGAAATGGGGACTCCCTATGTTGCCCATTTCTTCTTGAACTTCTGGGCTCAAGAGATCTTTCCACCTCAGCCTCTCACATAGCTGGAACTACAGGTACATGCCAGTGGATCCAGCCTATAGTTACTATTTTTATTGAACATTAATATTGAGCATGTATTATGTGTCAGGCACTGTGTTAATAGATTGTTTCATTATCTTCAATACCATCAACTATCATACAATTTAGATATTATTAACCTTGTTTCATAGATTAAGAAATTAGGGCTTAGAGTGGTTTAGTCCAAGGTCATGCAGATAATGAGGGACAGACTAAATAAAGATTTAAAACCAATTCTGCCTGCCTCCAAAGAACATGCTTTTAACCACCACACTGTCCTGTCTCCCCACCCATCTGAGTTGCTCAGAGAGGAAAGGCTTTGTGGTGACTTTTTAAGGCAGAGCTTCCCAATCTGTGTGATGGTGATCCTTCCAGCTCTCCAGGGACAGATAGGTCTGGTGCAGTGGAGCGCATGAACTGGTTGCCTCTGCTGTGAGTTTATCCTAGTGTGCCAGACAAATATAATTATTTTCTATGTGACTTGAAGAGGGTTTGGCAGAACTGTTTTAAAAGAAAGAAGGAACCTCTGGTATCAAAGTCAATTTTAGTGGTTGCTAGGATGCTGATCAATGAGAGGCAGTGTAGAGGAACCAGACTATATATAAGCTGTATGAAAGCAGAATTGCTATCTACTTTTGCTCAGCTTTATATCCCAAGCATCTAAAGAATACTTGGCACATTGAAGCTGTTCAAAAATTATTGTTGTTATTATTATTATTATTATTATTAGAGTCAAAATCTCACTCTGTTGTCCTGGCTAGAGTACAGTAGCACAATCATGGCTCACTGCAGCCTCAACTTCCTGGGTTCAGGCAATCCTTCTGCCTCAGTCTCCCAAATAGCTGGGACTACAGGCATGTGTCACCACATCTAGCTAATTTTTTCTATTTTTAATTTTTAGAGATGAAGTCTTGCTATGTTGCCCAGACTGGTCTCAAACTCCTGGCCTCAAGTGATCCTCCTGCCTCAGCCTCTCAAAGTGCTGGTATAGCAGACATGAACCACTGTACCTGGCTTAAAAAATTATTTTTTGGTCCTGGTGCGGTGGCTCATGCCTGTAATTCCAGCACTTTCAGAGGCCAAGGCAAAGAGGATCGCTTGAGACCAGGAGTTTGAGACTAGTCTGGGCAAAATAGCAAAACCCCATCTCTAAAAAATATTAAAATTAGCCAGATGTGGTGGCATATGCCTGTAGTCTCAGCTACTCAGGAGGCTGAGGCAGAAGGATTGCTTGATCCCAGGAATTTGAGGCTCCAGTAAACTATGATTATATCACTACACTCCAGCCTGGGTGACAGAGTGAGGCCCTGTCTAAAATAAAATAAAATAATTAAAAGTATTTGTTGAAGAATGAGTGAAAAAGTTACCTGGGCTATAAGCCTAATCCTGCTTCTCATTTTCTGTGTGACCTGAACAAATGCCAAACCCAAACCTTCTCTGGATCTCTGTGGTTGTCTTATATGGAACAGGAGAACTGTGGCTGTCTCTGATATCTATCCAGCTATGGAATCCACTAAGTACAGTGGAGAGAGGGCCATGCCAGATATGTCTGACCCGCTCAGGTCTGTGGTGTGGAAAGTGACCTGGAATCCCTTGGCATGAAAGTAGGATTCTAAGACATTTGAGCTGGTAATAGGTAAATCTGGAGCTGCTTGAGGTTGGAAGGGCAAGATATTTTAAAATAAATCTTTGATAAAAACCTTAAAAAATACTTGCTTTCATTTGCCTCCTCCTCTTTAAACTGAAATGCGTGAAAATTTCAGGATAAATGAGGATTTGGTGAGTAATCTTTCCTATCTCAAAGATGGACTGTCTTTGGCCTTAGAGAATGAACGCAAATGCTATTCTAACTCCAACCCTTTTGGGAATCCCTGGTCTGACTCAGCCCCTCTCTTCTTAGGAAGGCACATATAAGCTTATTGGCTTTGTGGACCAACTGGCTGTTCACTACACTCAAGCTGGGAACTTGATCCCCAAAGACTCAGATGAAGGCCGGCGGCAGCATTACCGTGCTGAGTTAGCGGCAGGTAGGATTCTGGGCCAGCCTGAGTTGAAATCCTCTTTCTCTGGTCACACTAAGGAGTAGAACCCTAAGCTAGAACTTTGCAGAACCTCTGCTTACATAAAACCTCTGGCTGTCCTGAATAGGTCTGGGAGCTAACCCATGACTCTCAGGCAAAGGACAACCAACCGGGACAGGCGAGGTCTGAAAGGTAGAAACCAAGAAGGCCCTTCCTGCCAGGGATTGAGGGAATAGGCTTAGCCTTTGGGCTTATTGGCAATATCCTACCAAGGTTCTCAAGAGTCTGCCAAGTTGATTATTTCAGAAGAAAACCTTGAAGAAGATGAAGAGCCCAAGGAGTTAGAAGCTGAAGCTGGAAGTCAGACAGATGTACCTGCAGCTGGGGTACAGTATAATATTGCTCTCCATCCCTCCTCTTCCAGCTCAAGCTGTGAATGGAGGCTTCAGGGGTGACATGGGGGTGGGAGGAGGGAGACTGAAGGTGAGAAGTTGGAGGCTGCAGGTGCCAGCGTGTCTGGAAGCATCACTCGCTTCCACCTCCCTCCTATCCCAGGACAGGACTTCCTCCTATTCCCCATTCTCCACCACCTTCTTCTCACAGCTGAACCCTCATCCTCTGGCTTTATTTCTAGGCAGTTGAAAAAGTGACTGAAGAAGAAATGATGACTCCTAAGCAGCCCAAGGAGCTGAAGCTCACTAACCAGTTCAACTTCAGTGACAGGGCCTCACAGACCCTCAACAACCCTCTCCGGGTAGAGCAGCCCCCACCCTAGCCCCTTTGCTGTGCAGCTCTGCACTGTGCATGGCAAGGAAGAAGCAGGCCTGGCCCCAGCCCCAATAGCCCTCGGCCTGGCAGGAGTGATAGTTCAGACACCATTGTTTCTATCTCTAAGGAGTGCGAGAATATATGTTCAGGGCCCTGTAAGCTATCCAGGAAGGAGTTTAGAGGTAGTAACAAGGAGCCTAGAGCCCTCCAAAACCCCACTGGGAGGCTTAAATTGAAACTGGGTTTTGCAGAGGGAGTCGAAACCAGGACCTGGGAGGAGAGGGGAGTACACAGTGTGCTAGGGGAGCGGGAGGCCAGAGAGTTCACCTGAAGGCAATGGTCTCTGTGGTAGACCAGCTGAAAAAGACCAGAAAGCCTCCCTGCCCCATAAGGGAGGATCCTGAGAACGAGGCTGAGGGAGTCTCTCAGGATTTCAGGTGAGAGTCGCACACATGTAAGGGCAATGTTCTACAGAAATGAGCCTGCAGACAGAAAGTGAGCTCTACAGGGTGAGTTTTTTACAGCACCTCATCACCCTGTGTGGTCCCTACATTGACACTGGTAATCTGGGTGACGCACAACGAGGAAATGGCACATTCCCCTGGTGGAGCCAGAGACCCTAGTATTAGGGAGATGTCTTTACAGGGTGAGGGGCATTCGGCTGATGACCTGCCAGAGGCTTTCCTCTGTGCCCTTGCCTGGCTTCCTGCAGATCTGTTTATCCCTCACTTAGAATCTATCTTGGTTAAAACTGGCATAATCAGGGCTAGGCTTGGTGGCTCATGCCGGTAATCCCAGCACTTTGGAAGGCTAAGGAGGGAGAATTACTTGAGTTCAGGAGTTTGAGATCGGCCTGGGCAACACAGTGAGACCTTGTCTCTACAAAAAAAAAAATAGCCAAAGGTGGTGGTATGCACCTGTAGAGTCCCAGCTACTGGGGAGGTTAAGGTGGGAGGATCACTTAGCCCAGGAAATCAAGGCTGCAGTGAGCTGGGATCATGCCACTTGGCAACCTTGGCAAAAGAGTGAACCCTGTCTCAAAACAAAAACAAAAACAAACCCCAGCACAATTAGGCTTCCCTGCCTGCTTTCTAGCCTACGCTTTTTCTGAAAAAGGCCAGAATGGACAAAATATGAGTTTTGAATGCATGATTTGGTCCTTTGCCCAGGACCCTCTCGACTTCCCCAGCTCTGTGTCCCACTTCTTCTCAGTTCCAAGCAAAATTCTTCTCCCAAGGATATACTGTTGGGCTAAATGAGAAGTAATTGAGAGTTTTCTGTGAGTTTCTTGTCTTGTTCTCTAGGATAGAGAATGCCAGATGGAGCCTCCTCCCAGAACAAACTTTTCAGCCACAGCCAATCAAGTAAGACCTGGGCCA